CACTGTGGGTAACTCCAAAAAACCCGGTAGAATTGACTTCAATCGCGAAGAACTCGATTATTATGGTATGCATAGGAGGTTTCGAAGTCCACAATTGTCCCAAAATTCAACGTCCGCACCAGCCCAAACCAACTTGGAAGCTCGTTGTAAGATGCATCTCATTCGCCATGAAGTTTGACAATGGCATTTTGTTTTGCCAACCAAGCTTTTTTATAGGAGACAGTGTACCCATACTGCGATTGTATAGCTGAAATCAACACTGCAACAGCTATATGAGAGCTTGTTTTTACCATGGGCATGATGGCTTGACATATCATTTCAGAGTCCAAGTTGGGATGATCTTGGTTGACCCCTCCAACACAACATGTGTGAGGACCGTTGTATATATTGTTAGTTCTCATATGTTGTTTTTCCTCTTCATTTTCGATACACGAACCATCCAATTACATACGTTTTCATGTCGGGCACAATAGCATACATATTTTTCGGTCGTTGATCGATTGACTCTGGACTGAACAGAATTACGGATATTGTAATTTTTTATAGCCACCACCGCTTCTTATTTGCTTGAAAACTCCATGCCTAAATATAACTCACCATTATTTATTGATGAGTAATATTCATAGTCACCGAGACGAGACATATCCGCAAATTCTGGCCCGTACATTTCACCATAATCAGCTTCATACATTTGTGCAGGAGGGTCAGTTTGTGCCACATTTCCTGGAACTTCATCATCATCGGAGTTGAATTGCGGTGATTCTGGGTGAATGAATAGTCCAGTCTCAGCACCATCTGCACCAGGCTCACGAAGCGGTTCTTCTGGTGGAGATGATTGTTCCTCCATGCTCTCCACATTTAGGTCGAAGAACCTACTACTTGCACTCATTCCCCTTGAACTGGAAGGCATATCGACATTGAGATCGAAAAAGCTCGCAGTCGAATGCCTCCCCCTGGAGCTTGAAGCCATCGTGTCAAATGAAAACTGCACAGATGGTTGCGTCGATGGCATCTCCATATGGTCAAATAAATTTGCAGATGAATGCCTTCCCCTTGAACTGGACGCGGTGTTACCATACGGATTATTCGTGGACCCACATCGGTACATATCGTAAGGAGTTGCGGATGAATGTCTCCCCATTATGACATTAAAATCATTACACATTACTGTAGGCTGGCTGTCAACTTGATCAACTTGTTCAGCCAACCCATAGTAGGAGCTTAATGATTGACCCCGAACAACACACACTTGAACAAAATGTGCATACATCTCAATAGCGGCGTCTGAATAATTACTTTGAGCTTCAACCATCATTTGAACATTATCATTGTTCGAAAGTTCGAACGTTGTATAAGTTAATAACAACAATGATGTTGGAAATCTGTACTGCAACGACGACATTCTTCTACTACTTCCAACATAAATCTTCCTCGAAATCTTCGTTATCAGCTCCTCAAGAGTTATGTTTCTCTTGAATGATATTTTAACACGCTCATTTGATATGACAACAACGCCGATTTCATCTTCTCGAATTTCACCATCATAATGAATAATAACTGAAAGTCGCGCCATTCTTTGAGTTTAAAAGTACAGCAATATTATATCTGCAAAAAAATAATTGAAACAAACCTGATTAAATAAATTATATATGAACGAAAATATAACACAATAAATTTTTTACACATAAACGTAAATAATTTAAATAATATAATTTTATATTATTACATGTACCGCAAAACTATTTTGACGTATGCTCCTGCTTTTTAATTTTACAAACACAAAAATTAATTGAAAATAATTAGTATAATATTTTTTTTTCAAATAATCATAATAAACAATAAGTATAAAAAAATTATAACAAAATTTATAACAAAAAATCGCACGAACTTCTAAATCAAATATGAAAAAATTACTAGAATTATTACTCATTAACGAAATTGTTGTGTTAATTTATAAGTTGAGAGGAGATGTGAGAAACTTAACCGGGAGTGAAGGGTATTTATAACCATATAAGGCGCGGTACCTGTACCGCACCATATGTAATTATTCAGATAAAAGTTATGGTCTGCGCTAAATATAATTCATACCCAGGTATAGCGCTGAGCATGGGCAACGCTATACCCCTACGTGGCGTATAGCATGGATTAGGGGGGCGCTATACCCACGTGTAAGCCATGTCAGCATATAGCGCGGTACAGGGGGCGCACTATACCCCAAGTGGCGCCAAATCAGCATATAGCGCGGGGCAGGGAGATCGCTTTACTGCTACGGGTGTTAGATCAGGAAATATAATATGATCGGTCTTAGATCGATAAATATATCGGTTACCAGTGATTTTTCGGGAAAAATGCCTTGTTTATCCTCAAATCTATTGTTAAAAGTAAAAAATAATATGTAGAACAAATCAAGTGATTTCAATAATTAAAAAATTATTGTTATCCCTTAAAATTTCGAGATACTTATAGAATCTTTTAAGTAGACATTACTTTATATTCATCTTAGACTAAAAAAACAATTAATCAAAATAGTATATCATCAAGTATAAGCTCAAGCCAATTTTAAAACTAGTGAATTTAAAATTTTCAAACTTGACTAGAAATAAAATTTTAAAGCTTGAATCGAGTAAAAAAAATTAAACTCGAAATATTATCAAAATTAGCTCAATCGAAGTTCGAACCTGAACTTTAAGTACATGAAAGCTTTATATTGTATTTTAAAAAAATAGAAGTATTAATACTATTAATAATTTAATTTTAAAATATAAAAAAATTTAATATACTATTTTTTTTAGTTGCTTGCAAGCTTTTTGAATAAGGTATCAAGTAGTTTATTTTAATTTGGTAAGAACTCGAGTTGAGTTCGAGCTCAAGTTCGAATCCGTTCGATTCGAGAGTTAACCGAATTTTAATCAAATCAATTTCAAATAACTTACAATATATCTCATCTCATTTATAATCAACACAATTCAACTTTTAGCACTCAACTTCCACAGAATTAACATCAACAATAGTGCAAGTCAGCAAATTACTATCACACTGGTAAAACCAGAAATATCAAGACAACATGTGGATTTTATGAATCAGAATCAAAATATGTGTACTTGTGGAAAACAAACTAATCAAACATGTGAATCAGAGATTAGTGCACAAATCAAAGATGCGTGACATGATAATATTGAAGCCGAAAGATGGTAGAAATCTGACCAGTCAACAAATGCACATATATAACCAAACGAAAATCAGCGAAACAAACTAATCAAATAAGGAATATCAAGACAACACGTGAATCTCATGAATCTCAATCAAAACGGCAGATCATTTGCAGAAGTATACTAAGCAGATTAGTAGATCAATAAATCGAAACAATGGAATGATTAAAAAAATGCAGATCTTACCAGTTTTATGTATCTCAGTATCTGATGCATCTGAGTCAACAGTAGCAGTGGAGGTGAAAGATCGTGATTCCAAATCTAATTATTGACAATGATGATCTGATGACTAGAAGGGGAAAAAAGTGTTTGCGCACGAACGCCGTATAATCGAACTGAAAGATCTGATGAAGCAACGATGAAGGAAAAAAATTGAATCGATCAGATTCAAATATTTGATCAGAAGGAAGGAAAGATGACAGAAAAACGACAAAGGAAGTTATCGTTGCACCAATGACGACTAATGAATGGGATGGCAACAGCAACATCGTCGACTGAAGCACTGACTCTGATACTATGTGAGAATGAGATCAATAGTCGATAATGATGAACGACAATGGTCAATGCTGAATGTGAGAGATATCCGACGAACGACTAAAGGTTTAAGGATTAACCAATATCATCTATTTATAATCTATATTAACCAGAAGCTATTGAGCGATATCAATGATTAAAGAGAATGTTATTTTTTTTAGGGATTTCTGATTTAAACAGTTACGTCTGTAAAATATATATGCATTGTCAATAACAATGAAAGATTCTACACAAATACATATTATTATAATCAACTTAAATTATTTTATAAATATCTATATAATTAACAAATTGATTATTAGGCTTAACTAGCTAATGGACTTCAACAGCTAGCCCAACAAACTTCTAATAGCCGAGCTATTTCTTCTAACATATATAGCGGGAGTGGTGGTGACCGATGAATCATTGTGTAAACTATATTATATATTCATCACTGAATGTTATTCTTTCTCTCATTTTATTCATTATACTTTTAATTTTTCAATTTAATCATTAAAATTTTGAATTATTCATGTTTTGATCATTTTAAATTATTTTATTATTATTTTTATGACATAATACTTTTTATTATTTAATATAAAAATAATTTAAAATATAAAATTTAACCAAAATGGTGGTTGATGGTGACGAGAAAGAATGGTGATTATTTTTAAGTTAATAATAATAAAATAATATTTTATTATTTATTTTAAATTAATTTTATATTTAATAATATATAAAAATATCATGTCATATAATATGAATAATAAAATAATTTGTAGTGACAAAATATGAGTTGGTATATAGGGCCAAGCCTTAATTTTTTTTGGATGCCCTCCCAGTTCAAGGTTTTTCTTTAATTAATCTGGATCCGATCCATGTCGTACTTCTGATTTTGGCGAGAGAGTCTTCCAACAGGAATTTTCTACATATATATAAATACTCGAACTCGAGACATTACTTAATCGATTAGCCAAGCCTACATTAAAAAAAACGTTAAACTACCTATTTAGTGCGGGGCCAAGCATATGAATTAGTACAATGCCTAAATCACTACGCCTTAATTCTAAACGTTGATATTGCTTATATATAGCTGATTAGCCTTAGAGGATTACCAACGTATTCAAATGATCTCTTGTTTCAAACATCGTTGAGTAGACAAGAAACCACCTTTTTTATTGTTATTTCAAAGATTTTGAAAAAGGAACAGTGCCATAGCAAATCCAACAGAGAGTTGGATCTGTTCACTGTGCTCATACATTTTCAAAATACACTGAGAAGCTCTAACATCTTAGCTTGTACGTTTATTGATTTCATTAGTTTGACACAAAGCTACATCGAATCCACCGCGACTCCATTCCCGAAAGGCCTTTGGTTGTAGCAGTCGAGATTGTTGCCATAGCTAACTCCGAGTATGTCACAGTACCTCTTATAGAACCCGATCCGGTCCTCCACCTGTGCATTCCAACCCCTACCGCATTCAAGCCCTCCATTGATAATATTTGTGATCACACCGTATCCCGGAACCCGACCTGCTGCCTGATCGCTACCGGAGGGTGACCATGCTCCGACGATCACATTGTGGCAAGAAGGCTTGGGCGGTTGCGCTGTCATCCAAAACCAAAATGCTGATTTAAAGGAAATAGTGGCATCGGTTGCTAGCAGGTCGGGGTTGTTTAACAAGTCCACCCCTATGGCCCTTCCACACGGCCCATAGTTGTAGTTCCTAAAACACCAAAGTTGATTAGTCATTAGTACGACAATGTCAACATCTCATCATAAATATATAGAGAAGAAACGAACCAAGAAAGTTGCATGGGACCCCGGCCAAAATATTGTCTACCAGAGGCACATGGGTAGGTTGGATCCGGCTGGCAGTAGTTTGAAGGTGGGTTCTGTTCCCTATTGAAGCAGTATCCCCATGAATATGGACCATCCGGTGCACTCGGCCACCCACCTGTAACATCGATCATCAAATTAAACTCATCGAAAATACGATCAACATCGAGTGTTCAACTTTCGAGACGGGACTAATTACCAGTAGTTTCATGGGAAGTTTGGGCCAAGAAAGCGGCGATTTCCCTCTTGCGAGTATCTTGGTTGCCGGTCGTGGCGAAGGCAGGGTAGGAACTAGCGGCGGCGATGAAAGCATCGTAGGTATAGAAGTTACGTGCAGGACAAGCGCCATCGTTTCTATGTAAAAGTATCCGATTGAACAAATCTCTCGATATAAGACTGGTCAGACCACCGGGTCCGGGAGGGGCCGGGGGTGGGCCAACGGGGGTGCACTGACTTTGGCAACCATCTTTGCAGTAGGGATCCGTGTCGCCGCACCAACCGAATTGGCTACAACATAGGCCACCGGGGCAAAGGGCACCACCTGCTTGCCTCCCACACTGCTCGGCCGAACCTATGACTACACAGGACAAGAACAAAAAGATGACAGTGAAGGCCAGAAGAAAGCTCATTTTGAATTTGGTTCTGTCGATGTGGGATGTAGCACGATTGGAAGGATGTGCATTTATACTGGGAGTGATAAGTGGCCTAACTCAATATTATCTTTTGGTGGGTCATTTTTTTAAGATTATATATATCATTTAAAATATGTTAATATATTTGTCAATATCAATTATTCATTAAAAGAAAATTTTATAAATTTTTAAAATTCATTTACTCACATAAAAATTTAAAGAAATAAAATACATCAATAATAGTCTACAAGTGTTCCTAAATTTTTATTTTTAGATATACAAATTCTTGAATCCACATAATAAATGTATATTTAAAATAAAATTATAAATAAAAATTGAATTATTATTTTTAAAATACCTTCAATTAAAATGAAATTAAAAATTAAATAATTGATAACTTAATTGAAATTCTCAACTTAAAAAAAATAAACAATCAAACAGAGAAATACACAGAATATTTTTATATATATATTATTAACATAAATTTATGATTCACATTTTTATGAGACCAAACTAAATAATTTAATATATATATATATATATTATATTTGTATAAATATATAATATATATTATTTTAATATTTTTTATATAAATATATATATAATATATATATATATATTTATAATTTCTGGGGTCCTTGTACCTTTAGCTTTCCCCCATCGGGAGTGACGGTGAAGGATAGATTATTGTGCTTGACTTTCAATTTGCGATGTCAGATTTAGTTTCTTATCTTATCTATGCCAGCTAAGTTGGGAATTAAGAATAGGTACGAGGGGCGGCTAATGAGTCATGTTAATTTCTTGCACATAAATTCTTACATGGGGACGACATTAATTAGTACCGCCGCTTCTGTCTGCGCGTGACAAATAAAAAATGGTTGTGTATTTGATTCTTTTGTAAAAGGAGTTGGAAAGTTCAAAAAGAAAATTATAGGTTGAAGCTCAAATTTTAAAATATAATCAATATCAATATCAATTATTTCGATGTTTAAAAGAATGATTATTGTTGGTCATGAATTTAAGTGCCAATTACTGTATGGTATTTAAACGTTCATTCTCAAATGATTAATTATTTAGAATATATATTATCCCTTGTAATATATCAATCGAAAAAAAATTATTATTTAGTTTTTCATTAAATTATATCATAAACTAATTACATTAGAAAAAATATTTTAAATAACAAAAAATATAATAAAGATAATAATAATTTTTTTATCATTTCATCTGTAAATATTCATAAAATATAATAAAGATAATAATAATTTTTTTATCATTTCATCTGTAAATATTCATTGAATACATTTTTTTATAGAAATCATGCTTACGTAAGATTAGGGATAACACAAAATTCGAATTTAATGGGCTTTGAGTTAATTCTATTGAATAATGTTTTTTAAATTTAAATTTAGATCGGGTCATCATGGGCGGAATCATCATGGCCCGCCAATTATATTTTTAATTATTAATTAATATAGAAAAATATATATTTTTAAAAATTAAAGAAAGAAAATTTTATAAGACCCCCTCAATTAAAAAATTATATTTATAAAAAATAAAAAATATTTTAACCCAACTATAATAAATTTTTAGTTCTACCCTACGTCAGGTTGAAATTAATTAACCCGATGGGTGTTAGTGTTAGCGCGTGTTTCCCACGCACTAACAAAGTCGAGTCCTGGATAAATTCTGGCATTGTCGGCACTTGCAGCCATGCATGCACCCAGAGTCACATGCGACTTTTGACCGTAAGATATAACGTATTCGTATATCATTTTATTTTTATAAATATTATTGTTGGAATTCAAATAAAAAAATTAAATCAATTTATGTTATATTCTAATATATAACATGTTGAATTTATATCAATAGATTCTAAAATTAGGTTATTACAGTGGTGCCTTGCACTTAACAAATATCATCGTCACCTTGTAAACAAATCAACCAATACTCTACCAAATATTTTATTCCAACATGTTGCAAACAATCAAGACACCTTGCACTTAATTTATATTTAACATGTATAACGTGACGTCAATTAATTTATATTCCAAAGTACCCCGATATTTTGAACGAGAAAGCATATGTTGATCACGAATTAAGTGACATCGGTAGTAAAAGAATTATTATTATTCTTTAAAATTCTAGATTCGAGTCCTAAAAATACTAGGGGTATGAGTGTTAAATGGTTAAAAGTGTTATTTGAAGATTAATAAAAAAACACAAAAGCATATGTTGAAACATTTTACTTACAGGATTATAGTTGGGCTTCGTAGGCCCAATATTTTGGTTTGTTCAAGGGGAAGACAATATCTGCAACTTCATTACCTTGAGGGTGCGTTTGGTTCATGGAATGTAACATTACCTCTCAGAATAATATTACCGGAATATTACATTACCTTACACATTACTGGGAATGTTACATTATTGTGTTTGGTTTGTTTGACAGGAATATATGATTACAATGTTTGGTTAAAGGAATAAAAGATTACTAAAATGCATATTTTACTAAATTGTCCTTATGATATTTTTTTAACAAGTTGAATTTCAAATATTCAAATGAAAATATTTATATAAAAATTCATAGAAAATATATTATTGTATTACTTTCAATTTTAATATTTTTTATTAAATTTTAAATTCATAAAATTTATATAATTTTTTTTCAAAATTTAAAAGATAAATGTGTAGATTAAAATAGTAAATATATCATATAATCTTATAATCTTAATTAATATTTAAAAATTTATGATAATAAATAAATAAATAAATAAATAAAATTCCCGGTTGGGAATATTTTTGAAATAAAGTTATGATAATAAATTTATTATAATATACTACAACTTTTGAAATAAAAGTAAGGGTGTTTTTGAAATAAATCTTTTAGGACAAGGACATTTTAGTCCAAGTTGAACGGAAACAAAAAATACCTAAGCCTACCATGGGATTAGGATTCCGGTAATATTTGAAAAAAAGTTATTGTTGGTAATATTTTATTACCCCTATTAGGAATATGTGTCCATCCAAACATGGGAAGGAAAAAAATATTCCCACCGCTAAAATCCTCCATCCAAACGCCCCCCGATTGTTAAGTTGTTCAGCATCTCATCTGATTAAAGATATTGTTTTTAAGCATTCTCTACTTGCTTAAATCTTGTGAGATTTGTAACTACCATGTGATTGTCCAAAATAATCAAATTGTGTCGGTATCTTTAACGGGACAACAGGAATCCTGACAGCAAAGATAATAATAAAAACAGATGACTAAATATCTCCCATCATACCGAATGTAATAATGCTTTTCTGTAAAAATCAACTTGTATGTAACTTAAGATGGATAACATTTGGTAAGATTAACTGTAAAGCATGTGGGGTTAGTTACAGTGAGAATGTTAGAAGTAATTTTGTTAACAATTGAACACATGTAAGTTATGTATAGTCACATTGCCAAAATTTCAACAGCTGAGGATGTTGAGAACGGTGACTCTAGCTTTGATCAAACGCCTGGAGAAGCTTTCAAGACCTTCCTCAAGATCTTGGATGCACATCTCTGAGTTTTGGAGCTCATTTTGCACATTCTAGACATGCTTCGTGTTTCCAGATCTAATGAAGGAACGCAACGCAGCTTCGGCATTTGCAGTTTCATTGTTTTTTTTGTTCTGCTTCCTCGCACATTACTCTTTTCTGGTGCATTAACTTTTAGACTAGTGACCACCGGCTTGATTTCAATTCAGCCTCTGGCCCTGAAATAAAGGTCAACAAGGATTGTAGGACGCTGATGATTACTGCTTCTACTTGTTTTAAGGTGTTAATCACCGCTCCGTTCTCACCATCTTTGCTGAAGGAGGAGGAGCTAAGTTTGTTCTCCATATGCTTCAAGTTCTTTAAGGCCTTGCAGATTGCCTTTCTTGCTGCCTTCCTGGAGGTGAAGTATTTCCTCATTTTCAAGGCATTCGGTTCCTCGTCTTCGGCACAAAGTCGATTGAAGTTATTGTGTGCATTCCTTTGTTTGCTGCAAGGCATCTTTAGCGGTTCCACATACATCCAGGAGCAAGAGAGATCCATCCAAAAGTTCATCAACCAATTTCCTTTGCTGCTCTTGAGCTAGATCTTGTTGAGTGAGGGGAAACTGAAGAAACATATCGACATAGTCATGCAAATCTTGAAGACAATTCAGTTTATCTCCAACTGATAACGACGTAGAGGCCGATTGAGATGCCCTCAATCGGTTCAGATTTTCATCGATTTATGAAGCGATGTGGTGTTGCCTTGAAGGCAAACTGTTTGAGCGAGCATGGAAAGAAGGCTGGACATTCAAAGGAGAAGCAGCCATTTTCTTTGTTTTAGAGAAGAAAGACGGCCTTGCAATTGTTTGTTTCAACTCGTCTAGCTATTTGCTGTCTTCCCATTATCATCCGCTGCATATATATCACAGGTTGAGGGGAAGAAGATAGCACATTGTTTGAAGTCTCAGTTGTCCCCTAACTGAAATACAGCTAAAAAAATTTCTATAATACAACTCGTGTATGATCTGAATCAACCATGTGAAAGACAATCGATATTCTATTAGTGTTTAATAATTTGTTCTGGGTTGAGACGATAGGAATCTTGACATTGAAGAAGAGTGGGTGTCCATCTTCTTCTTTCCCTCTGTCATTCAACTTGCAAAGCTAGGTTTTAATCCAATGGTTTAGAATCAAAATTTTGGCTTCAGTTTTATTAAAACTTATGAAGAATAAACACCAGACCATTCTATAAAAATGACTAAAATTTAACCCAAAACTAATAAAAGGGAAGAAAAGTGCAGGAAAACTTCGGATCATATAACTCTTCTATTAGTAACTGTATATATGTAAGTTCCATTTATGTACAATTGGTATCTCAAGATTAACAGTTGAGGATGTTGAGCACGGTGACTCTGGCTTTGATCAAACGCTTAAAGAGGCCATCAAGTCCTTCTTCAAGATCTTGAATGCACAGTTCTGATTTTTGGAGCTGATTTTGCTCGTACTCAATGTGCTTGATATTGCCAGATTTGATGAGGGAGTGCAATGGAGCTTCGGCGTTTGCGGTTTCATTGGTTTTCGATCTTCTTCACATCCTACTCTTTTGGTATGTTGTATTATTACTAGTGACCATCGGCTCGACTTCGATTCTGCTTCTGATCTTGAGATGAAGGACAAAAAGGACTCAACCACTCTGATTGTAACTTCTTCCACTTGTCTTAACATACTAATCACAGCACCATCTTCGACGCCGTTGTCAAAAAAAAGAGGTGTTAAATTCAGTTTCCCTTTGCTTCAAATTCTTTAAAGCCTTTATAATAGCCTTCTTCACAGCCCTCCTAGAGGTTAAGTATTTCTTAACCCCATTCAAATGCTCCATTTCAGCCCCTCATCTTCTGCGAAAGATCGATCGAAGTTCTTGAGTACATTCCTTTGTTTACATCAAAGCATCCTTGGCAATACTACAAACATCCAAGATCATGAGGGATTCATCCAACAGTTCTTCCGTGCATTTCCGGTGTTGCTCTTGGACTAAAGCCTGTTGAGTGAGGGGTAGCTGAAGAAACATATCAACACATTCATGCAAATCCTGAAGGCCATTTAGCTTATGACCTATCGATGATGATGATGTAGATACCCCTCCGATGCCCTCAACCGGCTCAAGTTGTCGTCGATTTCGGAAGCAAAGGGGTGTTGCCTTGAAGGCAAGCTGTTGGTTCGAGAATGGTAAGAAGTAGCCATTTTTTTCCTTGTTTTAGAGAGTAAAGGACTTGAAATTGTATGCTATTTCCCTTGGAACCTGCTCCATATATTACAAAAGGGTATACAAGGGAATCTCAATCTCTTTAAACAAACAATTAGAAATAACACGGACAAGTTTTGGATCAACTCAATTGACTCTAATTTTTTTTTATATTCTGCATCTTCTCCACCATCAACAACAACTCGTCACTAAATTAAGTTAATACTATTAACAACTAAAAATTCCTCTGAGATGCTTTATTTGTCATTGACTGAAAGAGAGACATGCAAGCTCAATCAATGATGATTCCCCTGTCCCCTTACAGAAATACAACTATAACAGTTTTTTTTTAAAGTGCAAAGCATGCATGATTGTATACAAAATTTTGAATCAAACATATGAATAATGTTTATCTTTCTGTCAGTTTCAAATATTATTATTTTTATTAGTCATCTCCTAATATGTCTTGATTCCAGAAATAAGACTATACTCAAATGAGAGATGCACGAGTGGTTTAAAATTGCTTCCACAGAAAGTATGCTGTTCATCAGTCATTAATGGATGGTTTTAAACAACAAAATGAAAGGGAAGGACACGATCCACTTTCATATCCTCTGCTCCCATTTTCCCTAACAGAACCGAAAAAAATATTGTGATCCAGTGATTGACACTCTGACAGACTAATATAAGCATTCTTTGTTTGCTTAAAGCTTATGAGATTTGTATCTACCATGTGATTGTCCAAAATAATCAAATTGTTTCAATATATTCAATGGGACAACAGAAATCCTGACAACAAGGATAATCATAAAAAGAAATGTAATAATTTTTCTCCGTATATCAACTTGTATGTAACTTAAGATGGGTTTTGGTAAGATTAACTGTAAAGCATGTGGGGTTAGTTACAGTGAGAGTGTTAGAAGTAATTTTGTTTTACTTACGTTTCATTGCAATCATTCTGGAAACATAAGACAAGAGATCAAGTTTTGTGGAAAGAAGGCTGTATAATTTTTTTTGTTAACAATTGTATACATGTAACTTATGTATAATTACATTGCCAAAATTTCAACAGTTGAGAAAGTTGAGAACAGTGACTCTAGCTTTGATCAAACGCCTGAAGAAGCTTTCAAGACCTTCCTCAAGATCTCGGATGCACATCTCTGAGTTTTGGAGCTCATTTTGCACATTCTCGACATGCTTCGTGTTTCCCGATTTAATGAAGGAACGCAACACAGCTTCGGCATATGCGATTTCATTTGTATTTTGTTCTGCTTCCTCGCACATTACTCTTTTCTGGTGCAGTAACTTTGAAACTAGTGACCACCGGCTTGATTTCAATTCAGCCTCTGGCCCTGAAATAAAGGTCAAAATGGATTCTAGGACGCTGATGATTACTGCTTCTACTTGTTTTAAGGTGCCAATCACGGCTCCGGTTTCACCATCTTTGCTGAATGAAGAGGTGGTAAGTTTGTTCTCCATGTGCTTCAAGTTCTTTAAGGCCTTGCAGATTGCCTTTCTTGCTGCCTTCCTGGAGGTGAAGTATTTCCTAACCTCATTTGAAAGCCCTTCAAGTCCTCGTCTTCGGCGTAAAATCGATTGAAGTTCTTGTGTGCCTTCCTTTGTTAGCAGCAAGGCATCTTTAGCGGTTCCGCATACATCCAGGAGCAAGAGAAATCCATCCAAAAGTTCATCAACCGGTTTCCGTTGCTGCTCTTGAGCTAGAGCTTGTTGAGTGTGAGGCAATTGAAGAAACATATCAACATAGTCATACAAATCTTGAAGACAATTCAGTTTATCTCCTACTGATGATGATGTAGAGGCTGATTGAGATGCCCTCAATCTATTCAGATTTTCATCGATTTGTGAGGCCATGGGGTGTTCCCTCGAAGGCAAGCTGTTTGAGCGAGCATGGACAGAAGGCTGGACATTCAAAGGAGAAGCAGCCATTTTCTTTGTTTTAGAGAAGAAAGAAGGCCCTGAAATTGTGTGTTTTGCCGTCTTCCCATTATCATCCGCTGGATATATATTACAGGTTGAGAGGAGACATGAGGAATCTCATTCTATTTAAAAAACAAGTACATGTAACTTGGACTTGATTGAGATCTACACGATTATCGAAATTCATGTTTTGTCTCCTCACCACCATCAAAACAACTCATTACCCTTTAGCAAATACAACCAAAGTGTACAGACAAAGGCCATTTTCTACTTTTTTTTAATCATTCTTCCTCTTGTATTCTTCCTTTATAATAATGAATAATTGCTTCCAACTTGTCTGCAGTTTATCGTATTACTTTTGAATTATTTTGCCAAAAGGGAGACAATATAGGCATATTTGACTTGTATACTATAGTTTTAGCAGGAAAGCATGTGTTTGCTGCATTTTTTTTAATGATGGGAAGAAGATAACACAATTTTTGAAACTTCAGTTGTCCCCTAACTGAAATACAACCAAAACAATTTTCTATAATGCAACTCGTGTATAATCTGAATCAATCATGTGAATGACAATTTATTTTTCTGGTTTCAGACAATAGGAATCTTGACATTGAAGATGATAATTCAGGGATCTGAGTCTATTCAAGAGTTCATTCTGAAGACTTATTTTCTCTTTCTTCTTTTAGTTTAACTAGGTCAGCTTAGCTATGTCCTTATCTTGTTTAAAACCGTCAATCTATTTTCTATAATGCATATTATATCAGATCATGCAGACAAAAGGAATCAAACAATTCTTAAATCAGCAATCCAAGAGTGACTGCTTGAACCTCCCTTGAGTGGCTAACCACGGAACTATTGGAATCAGTCTCATTCATAACAATGCTTTCTTTGTTCTCGTTACGCTTCAAACTCTTTAGGGCCTTCAAGATTGCCTTTTAAGCTGCCTTCTTACAGGTCAAGTACTTTCTAACCTCATTAGCAAAGCTGTTTGGAGCTCCACTCTTTTGGTACAAGACAGATTGAAGTTCTAGTGTGCATTCCTTTACTTGCAGTAGGGCATCTTTGGCTGCGATGCACACATCCAAAGGCCTAAATAGGTTATTCAAAAGCTCATCAACACTTTCCCTCCGGTGTTCTTGGTATAAGATTTGTCAAGTGAGGGGCAGTTATAGCAGTTTCTCACTGCACTCATGTAAATCTTGAAGTCTACCCATTTTTTGGTTTAATGACATGGTGACTGAGATGATGCCAATCTACTCAAATGCTCAATTTCTCATCAACCTCTGCAGTAAGAGGGTGTGATCTAGAGGGAAAGCTATTAGAACGAGTGTGTTAACCAGTTTGGATGCTTGAAGGAATGGTAGCCATTATCTCTCCTGAAAAGAAAACTTTGAAGTTGTGATCTTGATTCAATCTGGAAATCACCTTCTTTCCATCATCCTACCCGACATATATATTCGGTGAATGAAGAGACACGAAGAATCTCGCCCTTTTAAATTGCAGTCATGAGGTAACATGGACTTGACACCAATCTCAACAACTAACTCATCATGGTTAAAGCAATGTCTCCCTCCTAACCAGCTCTACAACTCATAACATGATTCTTTTAATATGTAATCTCCTAATATATCTTGATTCCAGAAATAAGACTATATAATGATACCCACGAGTGGTTTAAATATTGCTTCCAAAGACGGTGGATAGTTTTATGTAATTATTATTTCATCAATTTTCACTAGCATGCATATGAAATTAAAAAGGTTGAATTTCTCAAGTTTTTGAACAATATCCTGAATTTCTTGTCGTGCAGGAGGCAGGCAAGATCTGCAAGCTCAACCACAACACATCTTGCCAACTCCTGGAAAAATGGATAAAGTTTAATGATAAATGCAGGTGACTATTAACCTGCAAGCACAACGTAGAGACGGCCATCAGAATTTTCGTAAAACGCATGTGGAATTTAAATGTCAGCCTGTTTTCTGCATAGTGCATGCTTCCATATGAATGAAATTAAAGTTTTCTAAAGTGGTGATTTCTTAGTCTCAAGTCTTGAGGCAAAAGGAATCCTAAATGCTTCAAACTTCACTACTTGTTTTCATAATTGTAGGATGTTAAGAGTTGTGACCCAAATTCTTTTTTATCGGGCCTGAGATAGGAAGAAACAGTAACAGCTATGATAAACAGAACATGAAATAAGAATCTTTTATTTTATTAAAGCGTGTGAGATTTCTATCTACCACGTGATTGTCGAAGTTTTGTCCAAGTTCAAATTGTTAGAACGTGATGAAGTGCTCCAATATCTTCAACGGGACAACAGGAAAATAGACAACTCAGGTGTATATGTATATTTATATATCGGTAATTAAAATCTATCATGATACCGAATGTAATACTGGTGGCTCTATAATTCAGTCTGTGAGTTCAGATGGCTAACATTTGGTAAAACTAGTTGTAAAACCTGTACTGTCAGTAACAACCTAAATGTTAGATGTAAAAAAGAAATTTGGCTGAAGCTGCATTTGTAACCATTCTGGAATGATAAGAAGAGAGAAAATTAGTGGAAAGAATAATGTATAACTTTTTTTCAACAATTGTATACATGTAAGCTATATTTATGTACATTTACAATGCCAAGATTTCAACAGTTGAGGATTTTGAGAACAGTACTCTAGCTTTGATCAAACGCCTGAAGAAGCTTTCAAGACCTTCCTCAAGATCTTGGATGCACAACTCTGAGTTTTGGAGCTCATTTTGCACATTCTCGACATGCTTCGTGTTTCCAGATTTAATGAAGGAACGCAATTGTTTTCTGTTCTGCTTCCTCGCACATTACTCTTTTCTGGTGCATTAACTTTGAGATTAGTGACCACCGGCTTGATTTCAGCTCAGCCTCTGGCCCTGAAATAAAGGTCAACATGGATTCTAGGACGCTGATGGTTACTGCTTCTACTTGTTTTAAGGTGCTAATCACGGCTCCGGTTTCACCATCTTTGCTGAAGGAAGAGGAGGCAAGTTTATTCTCCATATGTTTCAAGTTCTTTAAGGCCTTGCATATTGCCTTTCTTGCAGCCTTCCTGGAGGTGAAGTATTTCCTAACCTCATTTGCAAGGCACTCGGTTCCTCGTCTCCGGCACAAAATTGATTGAAGTTCTTGTGTGCATTCCTTTGTTTTCTGCAAGGCATCTTTAGCGGTTCCACATACATCCAGGAGCGAAAGAGATCCATCCAAAAGTTCAACCAGTTTCCTATGCTGCTCTTGTGCTAGAGCTTGTGGAGTGTGAGGCAATTGTAGAAACATATCGACATAGTCATACAAATCTTGCAGACAATTCAGTTTATCTCCTACTGATGATGATGTAGAGGCCGATTGAGATGCCCTCAATCGGTTCAGATTTTCATCGATTTGTGAGGCGAAGGGGTGTTGCCTCGAAGGCAAGCTGTTTGAGCGAGCATGGAAAGAAGGCTGGGCATTCAAAGGAGAGGCAGCAATTTTCTTTGTTTCAGACAAGAAAGAAGGCCTTGAAATTGTGTTTCAACTCAATCGAGCTATTTGTGGTCTTCCCATCATCATATGCTGAATATATATCAGTGGTTGAGGGTAGACATGAGGAATCTTATCCTATTTAAATATAAATTACATGGACTTTGATTTGGATCTACACAATTATCAAGCAAAATGTTCATTTTTTGTCTCCTCCCTACCGTCAAAACAACTCATTACCCTTCTACAAATACAATCAAAAGTCATCTTAAATAACATGATATACTATTACTAATACAATAATAATGTACTAATTCACACGAATGGTGCTAAGAAATACAGCTATAACAATTTTCTAGTAGAACAAAAGCATGCATGATTCTAGAGAAAAGTTTGAATTAAACATGTGAATAAAGTTTATGTTTTCTGTCAGCTTCAAATCAATAATGCAACCCCACTTTATTGAAGTTGTGCAAAAGTTTTTTTGGCCTTCATGGTGGTTAGGCCTTAGAGATCCATCTAACAACTAGTAACCTATTTCTCACCCTGGCCTTAACATGATTATGAGGCACGAGTGGGGTTGACTTAGTACCTTGAAAACCAGCTGACCAGTCTCCCAAAATGAAGTACGGTCGCTGTGCCCCTCGTGCATATATCTTGGCTGTCTGTTAGATGGAGATATGTTTCAACTTTCAGACGCATGGCGTGCTTTCAGACGGATGGTACTGAACATATGTTGGACAAGATTCCAGTGATGCTTGTGCTGATCTTTCAATGATTTGTTAATTAAAGAAGGTATACATACAGGATTGCAGGCGAGACCGCGAGAAAAAGCGAACATATTGCATGTACGTCGGTAGGTGAGACAGGACAGCAGTGCCGGTCGTGCAAACCTGAAATCTGAAAATAAACAACGATGAAACCTCACCGACTAATTGACACATTAATCAAGAAATTTTGGAAGCAAATGCTTCTTAGCATGGACATAGATGGAAGCTAAGGAATGCCACTACAACAGGACTCAGAAAATGGGTGGAAAAAAAGAACTAAGATAAATTACATGGTTAGTCACTTAAACATTTTCTCAGTCTTATCTTAGTCACCAAAATTTAAAAACTTTTAATTTAGTTATCAAATTTTCAAATTATTCTTATTTTAATCGCTTCCGATGATATGAATTATTTTAATATTATTTTTATTATGAAATTACATATTTTATTAATATTTATGATAAATGTGTTTTAAAATAAAAAATAAAATCCTTTCAAACCCCAAACCATACCTTAAATCACAAACTCTAATTCATACCAAATCAAATCTCCAATACACCCCCTGAATCATACCAATTCAAAACCCTAAAACCAAACTTTAAATTTCAAATCACAAAACTGCCGCTCACACTCGACAAACTCACCCTCATCGGTCTCACCCACTTATCGACGGCCCACAAACACCTACTCGTGATGAGCCAAAGGACAGTCGGCGACAACAAAAAGTTCATAACCAATGGGTTAGGGGGTGACGCAAATGACAACGACCATCGACCTCGGTGACTTCGTGTGACGGTCTTTAATAAGTCCTTTGGCGACATGGGGGCTTCGTAAGGGAAAAAATTGGTTTGGGGGTGAAGCTGGGTGGGTGATTACAACCCATCTACAGCATTCTGGATTGTCTGTAAAGGCTCAAATTTATCTGTTGGAATGATTTAACCGGTTGTGATTCCGAGTTTCATTCGAGCAAATTTAAGGTGATAATTGGGAAAAAGATTATTGATGTTATAAGAGACTGAGAATTGCTTCAGAAACTCTGCTGTTTTGTGTTACATATCGCTGAAATGGTGGAGCCTCCTTATTAAGCATTTCACATAATTTGCAAGCAAGCATGAACGGCAGGTACACCACCACAAATGGGGGGGAAACACACTCTTTGCTATTTCATGCAATTTCAATTTGAAATTCGATTCCAAACTCGGATTTTTACACAAACCTTCGGCAGCCCCAACATGAAAATGGCACAGAAATGTAGAATCAAAGAACACTATATTTTGTTCTCACGATCCCTTCACCACTCGTTGCTTCTTTTCTTCAAGTCCGGTAGCTTCATTCAACATGTCTGCGGCATCTTTATGCATGTCTAGTTTGGCAAGAGCAACTGATTGCATATAGAAGGCAGTCGGCCACTCTGGATTCACAATCTGTGCCTGCATTGCATCTGCAAGGGCAGCGTCTGGTTGATCGCTAAATAGATAGCATAGGCTGCGTCGAGCAAAAACAGTAGGGGAGACCATGGTTCCGACGTCTATGAACTGCACATAAAGAAAAATGTATCCATGATGGTTTAATACTCGATTTGGTTTAATACAATCCCAATTGTCCTAGAACTATCGAATGGTCAAGTCTATAAATAAGAAAGGTGACAAACTCTCAACCAAAGAACATATAGTTCTCGAAAAGTTAAAGTTTCGACATTATACCTGGGAGTAACAGTCGATGGCGGTTTTAAAATCTTTATCACGGAATGCATAGTCCCCACGCTTCCTAGCCTCGAGCATATCTCTCATCTGCTGGGTCCACTCTTGGAAAGATAACTGAAGCAATCCATCCACAATTGTATGAACTTCTTAGCATGAGAGTAAAAGAAAATGGATTTAAAGGAATCACTCAGACGAGTCATCACCTCATTCGTCCCTTCATCATCCTTGTAGTGATTCATCACCAGTATCTGATGAATAGCTGTAAGGTCAAGTCGCGAACAGGCCTCACCCATTGCCGAAAGTGGACGCTGCGGTGTTGGTGGAGCTTCCTCGTATTTTGATATTCCAAGCATAACATAAGACGGAACCTGCAAGCCAAGGTATACAATAATAACTTCAAAAGCACAGCCACAAGATCATTAATTCCACATCGTTTTTTTAGCTTGAGGATGGGTCGAGGTAACAATAAGCATGTAAAGAAGTACAGATAAAGAACTTTAAGTATCTTGGACAACTCTGATACAACTCTTGTCATTTTCAACTCTTCACTGTAAGTCAATAGATGCAACCTCCAGATTCTAGATCTTTGGCTCACCAACAAAGAAAGAATGAACTCTTACAGAATCGAATAGGTAAAAGCAGCAATGTTACTTACATCAGGTTTGGTTTGCAATGGAGCAAGTGTGGCAACAAGATTCTTCACACTAGGCCGTTCCCCTGGGCTCATTTTGCAAACACTGGGAGGCGAGTTCAACGACCACGGTTGCCTCCTCTGTAGAAAATTTTCCCTCTAAATGTGAATCCATGAGGACCATGATGTTTTTACCCCGTATCATATCGAGGGCCTGCAAACATGCACATCAGTAGGTAAAACCAAAGTTTTTTTGTAACCTTTGAGCTTAATGTTGTCTCACATTAGAACAGGTAAAGATATAAACAGCTGGTTAACCTCATGAACTCATTATTTGAATAGCAAGTTCACATTTACAAGTATTTCAAGGAGCCATGACAGATTCCATGATGCAGAGAGTTTGAAATTGAAAAATGAAGAATACACGATAATATGTATAGATCCCTTCTACCACAAATACTAGCCGCTTAAATCCACTTACATGACTAGGAGGGATGTGCTTCCCACTAATCAGATCAAGCAGAACGGTGCCGAAGCTGTAAATAACACTTTCTGGGGTGACTCTCCCTACAAGGAGCATAATTTCGACAAAATTCAATGACGAGAATCATGAAATTTGGAAAGGAAAACAGTTTTCATGTAGCTCAGCACAATGCAATGACAGATATTAAGCTTATCTTACATCCGGAAATGATTTTTATACTTCCATAGTAACAACCAGAACAACTCAACTTATCTATGAAAACACTGAAAGACAACAATTAACCATTAACACTGGAATCTGTTTTCATAAAAGCCTACCTCGACTTCTCCTTTGTATGCTATAAAGAAACAGAGATCTCTAGAAGTCGCAACATTAACTGTCGAAACTACAAGAAGTATGCTAATGTTGTAATCCTAACATTATTCATAAAGCTTATTCAGACTTCGCTGAAGAAAATCGGATTGAAACACAAAGGAAGAGAAGACTTTTATCGGGAACATAAGAAGCGAAGCAAGCCAATTATGCAGTAACATCAGTAAGGATCAAAGTGAATTTCAGATATGAGTAACAAGGTAAATCCGTTTAAATTTCGACAGGCAGAAAAACGAAGAACAAGTATTTTATGACAGTAAAAACTAAACAGTAACCACCAGAAATAAACCAAATAGCAAAGGGATTACCATTTCTTAGATACTCAGGAGGTGTGTATGCAAGATTAGTGCTATAACTTTTCCCATCCCTGCTATTTTTCATCAGGCCGAAACATGAAAGGCGTGGATCACCATCCTACAAATCCATTAAAAAGACATCAGCTACTACTCTAACTGGTAATTAATGCCAGAATAGAGGAAAAAAGCATATACATAATAAGAAGACTTATATTGAGACCAATACCTCATCAAAAAGAACCCTGTAAGCATTTAAATCATGGTATAATGGATGGCCCTCACTACTACAATAATCTAAAGCTTCAGCAATGCAGGTAGCTACTCTCAACCGCATCGCCCACTCGATGGTCTGATTTTCCCCTGTATAATGTGAACAAAGACCCAAATTTAGGGTGTCATGAACAGAAATGCCCAGATATATTATCAACCTAAAAGCATTTAGCAAACAAAACTGTATATCAAACTTAGTAAATCAACCAGTAATCTATTATATATGATTCAGTAAGGATTACAGGAACTCAATAAATTAGCAAAAAATTTAAAACACAAAAGTTCTTGGATAAACTGTTTATGGCATGAGCAATGAATCAAGAATAACTGGAAGGGGGATAAAAGGCTAAGCTCGAGTTATATAAGGCACGTTCTTGGAAACAATTAGCAAGAACTAAAAATCAAGCCTGATTAAAAGATGAGCAAGAAATCAAAAAATTGAACAAGAACAAATGAAAAAAGGATTCTTTTGGAGAAACTGACAATGGAACAAATGCTTAGCAAGTGTGTCATTAATCATGTACTCAGCAACAAGCAGCCTTTCATCACCATCACAGCAATACCCTATCAAATTTGCTAGCCTCCTGTGCCTCAACTTCCCTACTCCACATGCTTCATCCTAAAAACAAATCCACAAAACCCAAATCAAATAATCCCACCAAATATCAAAAACAGAAAAAGGCAATAATGATACCACAAACTGCTTTGAATCAGGCCACGCCGTCTTAGTAAACTTCTTAACAGCGATCCATTTCCTGTTCTGCAAACGACCTTTATAAACAAGGTTAGGAGCTTTTTCCCCACTTTCAGAAACTATGTTATCTGAACTGAAATTATTGGTGGCTGCTTTAAGGTCGGCCAAGGAGAACTCGGTGAAAGAAGGGACTCCATTAGCAACACCCGGATCGGGTCCAGCACCCGGACCTGCTTGGTTATGGTTCCGGGGCCCCGGTTGCTGTTGCCGGCTCTGGTCTTTCTCTGGGTGGGTTTCTGTTTGAAAAGATGATTCACAACAACCCATAATTCACTTCTAATTGAACCTCTCCTCTTTGTTCTTCCTTTTTGCTTTTCAGAACAGAATCATGAGATGAAAAGAAAAGGGGTTTGGGTTTTTGACAAAAATAAGAATGGGTGTAGGACTTCGAAGGGATCTGGGTTTTGTTTTGGTCGTTTTCG